CAGGTAGTTAAAGTTGGTGATGGTAATCTTCACACGCCAATACGCCCGATAGTTAGCCTTCACATGCCAATGCACTCGGATCGGGCACCTGTGATCTGTGCATTGTAACATTGATGCATCTTCCTTAGCTAAGGCTTTTTTATTCAGCACCCTTGAGTCCTTGGGGTCATTTCTGCATTATGTTCCAGTGTTAGGGAGAGAAGACGTTAACATGGAAAAGTTCAATTATTGGATGGGAAAGGCTCATTGCATGACCTTTTGCTTCAGTCGAACTGAAAAAATGGTGTGTTGTGTGTACAGGCTACTTACATGCAATTATTGTTCACATCCTTACAACCACAAGCACAAGATGGACAAGGAGTAATCATGGGGTTGTAGAAAGATGACAGAGAGACGCAACATGTTGGATTTTCAGAGACGAGCAATTGCGAGTAAGTGCAATCCAAAGCCCATGTCACTGCCAAAAAAGAAAGCACAAAAATTTTACAAGACAACTAGATGCAAGAACTTCAAAGCTAATTGTAGAAACTGTAAGAAAACACAGCATGCCTACTAGATTGCTAGCTATTAGCAAACTTTAGTGCTTGTAAAAACTGTAATTAAGAAACAGAATGTGACACCAGGCATATTTTGTTGAAACATGGAAGAAGTAAACTTACTCATTGCTTGAGTCGTACGGCGGCCATCAAGCGAGAAGGAAACTGAGGGTGGTACAATGGTTGCAGCACTGCAAGTGTAGCCTGGTCCGGGACCAAGCAAATAAAAATTCTTTGGTGGTGTTACTGTTTTATTTGAAGTACCTGAATGGCCAACACTCAGCTGAAATGCTGAGACTGCAGCTGAGGGGTCTTGTCCCCATGATGCCATAACACCACTTTTGCAGCAATCAGAAAATCTTCGGTTCATTGGAACCCCAGGAAGCAAGTCAACAACTGTGGGAGTTTTCTTGCAGCTGTGTGGAATATTTGCTTTGAACTTGGAGCAGTCTCCTTGAGCAGTGGCTTGAGCTCCCACCATTGACCATATCACTTCCTTCTTAGCCCATGTCCAGCCTAAGGTCCATCCGGGGCTCGTGATGTGCCGGTACATTTGGTTGTTGATTATTGTTACTGCTGCCTGGATAATATATATTATCATGGTAAGTAAGAATGTATTTGAACTGAGCTTTTAGTTGTTGAACTTATTATTAGAATTGATTATCAATGAAAATGAAAACAAAGTGATACAAGTTGTGGTGGCACTCACCACATAGCCATCAGGAGTCCAAGACAGAACATCCCATTTGATATTTATCCTCCCATTTGGATCAAACGAATCATAAGCCACTGAAAACCATGAGGGAAGGAGGAATTGGCAAAGTTAGAATAAGCAATGAGGTTTTAATTAAGGAACAAAACCATACTCCAAATCCTAAACATAGTTATAATTATTAATTAGAAGCTCACCTGCACGAGAAACTATTGTCAAGAACATTACAGATACCAAAAATGCGCTTCTTATACATTTACTAATAATCTCCATTGTTCAAGTTTCAGTAAGCAGCTGGGGATTCTTGAGAACTTATGCAGTTAAATTGTCCAAAGGGCCAGTATTTATAAGCAACTAGGCTCCCAAACCAAAATTTTTTTATCTACCCTCATTCTAAGCTACTTCTTCGACTATGGTTTTCCAGATGTCATGTTCTCAGCTACTTGACTAGGACAAAAGTATTGATCACAATTTCATATATGTGTAATGTTGCGTATGCAGCATGTCAGTTTCCATGTTCAAGTGAAATTGCATAGCTATTTAAAAATTGTTAAAAGGGCATGAATGAACAAATTCAATCACTTTCCCACCAATTTAAAAGCAAGGAAGAGCCCATTTTGCAGCAATCTTGATCATGCCGGCGGGATGGACACAGAATGATGAGGTGATCTCCCAATTTCTGCAGTGACTCTAACCAATAAACTTGAGGCTGACTATATATTCAGATATTAAATAAGTGATAAATAGATAAAAGTATAGGAAATATAACCGAGTCAACTAATTTCCTATATGAGTTTGAAGAATGAAAAGTCAAGTTCATGGCTTACATCACAAAAATTCAATGTTGGTTTGGCATCTTGCCCTTGTCATTTGTTCTCTCTTTACATGGTAGGATCTACAGAATGACTGGCTGCGGGAATTGATCAAGCCTGGAGCTGAGATTCTTAGGACCCCAAGACTTTCACTTGTGGAATATAAAAAAATGACCATATTTGAGAAACACCACCATAGCTGCCAATGCACCAACTGGAAAACCACATATCAAGGCCAAAGAATTAGATTGCACCAGTTTCTGGCAAAATGCTGACAGTGACTTGCATAACTTGGGCCCCTTATCCTTGCCATTTTAGCTTCCATGTTTCTAAGCCATGTTAAGTGGCGTTTACTTAGAAACATTGATGTCCTTTGCCAAAAAGACATATCTGTGCCATCAAATACAAATCTGCAGAAAGGATCATTGTGAATTCATATGATTCAAAGATTCAGGAAAAGAAAAATGATTCATTTGTTGGGCTGAGCCTTTCATCAGTGTCTCTCTGCCACTCAGGACCAGGACCATTGAACTAGAATAAGAACCCAATAGATTTCATTTGTTGGGTTACAATGCTCAGGACTAATATGGGCTTTCATGGTTATAAACTGGTCCAATATGATTGTTAAGCAAAATTTGTAAATGCCCAGTTTTTTTATTTATTTTTAATATAATAGGAGGGAGATTTGAACACGTGACCTTGAGTGCAGGTAATTATTCTTAACTACTTGAGCCACAAGCGTCAATGTTAATTATTCTTAACCACTTGAGCTACAAGCGTCAATGTTAAAGTATAATGGCTAAAAAACAGTTTGATGGTATCTACTGTAAGTATACTCGCATACACCAATGATTAATCAAAAGTGGATTTTAATTTTTACTGGAGTATATTCCCATTTGTTTGAAAGCAAACTGCAATCATGCAAAGTCACAGAGTCTACAAGGTAACAACAATAATGTTTTAATTTAATTAATCCCAATAATAAAGAGGATTATAGTAATATTTGACAAAAAAAGAAAGGGGTGTATTGGTTGGCACTGGCAGGCAGTGGTAAGGCACTAGGCATGGTATGTCGGTGGTATCTTCTGTTTAGCACCATCCTTCCTTTTCAACTACAGATCATGTTCACGTTATGTGGTGTTTTTTAAATTTACATAGCTCTCTCTCTCTCTCTCATCATTCCCTCCTTTCATACAGGCTACAGCAAAGCCCAGCTCAGTTCGCCAATCCCAAGATTCTACTTGGCCAACAATGACGTGCCAACGACATGTCGTACACTTACTCTGGTCTTTTTTTGAAAAATAATAATAATTTGTCACTGCTCTTCTACTCAACAACTATGATGGTGGTGGTGTTTCTTTTCTTCTAGAATAGATCTCAAATTCCACTTTCTAATACAAACAACAGTTGTGAATAGGACGCAAAATAATTTAAAATGGATGTGTGTACCCATCGTGGCTACTGCTTCTCCTCATTATTGCACCAAAAAGAGGAATTTTATGAACATGAAGTCCCAGAGAGAGAGAGAGAGAGAGACAGATGAGGAATTTGGTATGGGATGTTTTCTGTATGGTGAAGTTTTGGTACCACTTACTTGCTACTACTAATTATTATTATTGTATGGCATTTACTACGTGCCACCCCTACCTATTAACTATTTATATATAACAAGACAAGGAAAGACCAACCCATAACTGGAAAAGAAAAAAATAACCATTTTCATTTGTTTTCTTTTCTGAGAAATTATCTACTAATGATGATTTGGTCTTCCAATTAATATTGAACAAACTCATTGATGATGTCAACATGGTCTAATTCAGTGAAAAAAGACGTTGATTTGCAAATCATTGGGTTCAGTTTCAACCCCAATGGTACCTTGACAATGTGTATGAGAAAACCTCATCTCTCTTCCGAGCGTAGACAACCGAAAAACCATTAACGATCAAAATAATGAAATAAAAAAATTTCAGATTTGAAATTTGGATCTACCCTGCTGCTTATAATATAGGTGTGGTAATAGAAATTGTGAAGTTTTGACTGGACCAAACTTTGCAGAAAATGAAAGAGACAAGATGGGCCAAACCCAGCCCAGTCTATGCTCTCAATCTTCGAGAATATTACACGTGTCCAGATCTAAGGCAAAAGGGGGGCATGATTTTAGACGAGTAAAAGTGTCGGTCGTATGGCAAACGCGTACAGAGTGTATACTGTAATGTGGCAGCGTCCAAATGGGTTCGGAGATTTTACGGGTTAGATTCCACAAGGACATTTGGACATTTGAAAATATCTAAAACGAGCAAAAGCCACCGACGACTTTGAAGGATTCATTCGGCTGCCCGACTTCTCCCCCAGTGCCTCTTCCCCAACAAAAACGCTATAACTTGCCAACTTGGGTTGGGTGTTGCGCTTTTACCAGAACTGCTACCGCCCTCATCGCCAATTTTGCCGCAATTTTAGATGGCATTGATGTAATAATATTTTAGTCCCACAAAAGTATTGGTCTGGAGAGGATGCTTATTATTAGTGGGGAAGGGAAGAAAGAAAAGTATTTGACGTTGAAGTTTTTTTCTTTCATAAGTGGGAAGATTTGAACTTAAAATCTCTTTCAACGTCAAAAAGGGAAAATACCACAACAAACCTAAAAAAACTAAAATAATACTTAATGCAAGTATATTTTGGATATTACTCGACATTTTATTTATTTATATTTAGACCCATTTTGAACCTTAAAACATATATAACAATTGAACAAGTATCATATTATGTGTCACGTTAAGTTTATAACTTAAATAAGTATAGCAATGTGTTGAAAAGGAAGGACATCTTACATTATTATTTTTTTCTTTTTATTACATAGAATTTTATTTCCTAATATCCAATTTGTTTTTGTTAAAAGAGTATTAGTAAATCACAACGGGATTATTACATTATTTTCTTACTTTTTCTGCCTAATCATTTGACTCGTCAGAGTTTGAAATGGACCAAATCCACACCCTAGCCTTTTCATGTGATTGAATTTCTTTCCAAGTATATTTAGGTAACTCTTCTCAATATCTCACAAAATCTCAAACTACGGTAACCTAATCAAAGCGTTGCAAAACTGTAACCTTCTATCTAATACATCTCCTCCTCCCTCTTCGTACGTGTCAGCACCAATTCGCACGTGTCACCCCAAGCCTCCAAACTCTTCAAATACAGGCACAACTCCCACATTCAACCCAACACTCTCTCTAAAGTCCAACCCCCAACTCTCTCTCTCTCTCCGAGAAACAGCCATGGCTGGAGTCAGTAAGGTTGCTCCCACACCTCTGCTCAAAGATGAGCTTGACATTGTTATTCCCACAATCCGAAACCTGGACTTCTTGGAGATGTGGAGGCCATTTTTTGAACAATACCACCTTATCATCGTCCAAGATGGTGACCCTTCAAAGGTCATCAAGGTCCCAGAGGGCTTTGACTACGAGCTTTACAACCGCAATGACATTAACCGCATCCTGGGTCCTAAGGCCTCTTGTATTTCCTTCAAGGACTCTGCTTGCCGCTGCTTCGGCTACATGGTCTCCAAGAAGAAGTACATCTTCACCATCGACGACGATTGCTTTGTAAGTATCTATTTCAACAGCTCGATCTCTTGTTTGGGAGTTTTTCGGATTTGGGTTTCGAGTTTTTGGTTCAAAAGCATGGATCTTGATGGGTTTTGGTTGTGGATTTGCGGGTTTTGCTGGCTTAGCGCAGTTTTATTTTTCAGTTCGATGTTGATTTGACTCTATATGATTGCTCGGTACTTAAATTATGTTGCTTGTGTTGTTTAGATCTGTTTCTTGTCTCTGTTTGACTTCTGTGCGTCGTCTGTTTGTCAATTTAACTTCTTTTTCTGTTGTCAATGGACATTGCATGCTTTGATCTATGTTTCTTATGATGTATATCTTATTATTTTACGTACTTTTGGGTTGATCTGTTTCTTGGCAGAAGCTAGATTCTCTGTACCATGAGTTATTTCAGTTAGTGTAGAGATGGGGTTTACCAAATTCACAGATCTCTCCTTTGCACTGTAATTGGATCACATTCAGATTCACACTTGAAGAGTTTCAGTCTATAAATTTTGATTAAGATATACGTGCTGAATTTCAATTTCATTTATCTATGCTTTGAATCGTTGTGAAAATAGCTTGTTATGGTGGCACCTTTGTGTTTCAGATTTCATTGATATCCCTCCAATTCTTGTGAGACCAAGTTGTTATAATTAATCATGGTTCTTTTTTATGAAAATGCAGGTTGCTAAAGATCCTTCTGGCAAAGATATCAATGCTCTGGAGCAGCATATTAAGAACCTTCTGACTCCATCAACTCCATTTTTCTTTAACACCTTGTATGACCCATACCGTGAAGGTGCAGACTTTGTCCGTGGTTACCCCTTCAGTCTACGTGAAGGTATCCCAACTGCTGTTTCTCATGGCCTCTGGCTCAACATTCCGGATTATGATGCACCCACTCAGCTTGTTAAGCCTTTAGAGAGAAACACTAGGTACATTGGTCTGCCATTTTCAATCCTTCAGAAATTCTGCATTTGAGTGTTTTGCTGACTATAATGCTGCCATTTTCAATCTTTCAGAAATTATGCATTTGAGTGTTTTGCTGACTATAATGCCATGTTTCTAGGTTTGTGGATGCAGTCCTGACCATTCCCAAGGGAACTCTCTTTCCCATGTGTGGTATGAATCTGGCATTCAACCGTGAATTGATTGGACCTGCTATGTACTTTGGACTCATGGGTGATGGTCAGCCAATTGGGCGTTACGACGATATGTGGGCTGGCTGGTGCATGAAGGTATCTCTCAAAATCTCTTTAGAGCCTGTACATTTTCATTGTCTTTTGTTAGTGCATTTCATTGATTTTTCAATCAAAACACACTGCCTTGTGTTTTCAAATTTTAGTGGGTCACAGGAGTTGTCATTGTTGGTTTTGTAGGTCATATGCGACCACTTGGGGCTGGGAGTGAAGACAGGATTGCCCTACATCTGGCATAGCAAAGCAAGCAATCCATTTGTGAACCTTAAGAAGGAATACAAAGGAATATACTGGCAAGAAGAGTTGATCCCATTCTTCCAATCTGCTACCCTTCCAAAGGATTGCACCACCGTTCAGAGCTGCTACATTGAGCTCTCCAAGCAAGTGAAGGCAAAGCTTGGCAAGGTTGATGACTACTTCCTCAAGCTTGCGGATGCCATGGTCACATGGGTTGAAGCATGGGACGAGTTGAACCCATCCGGAGAAAAATCTGTTGAGAACGGAGTTGTTGCGAAATAGATTGATCTTTGGTTGCCATTATCATTAATCTTTTGATAGTCGGTGTCAGTGATAGGCCTTGTTTGTAATCTGATCTTCCCTTTTATCCGAGCTTTTGGTTTTGGAGCTAGGAGTTATTTATTCGGCAGGTCGGAGAAGATATTTTCTTAGAACAATAATGATGACGGATATGTATTTCTATATACATTAAAAGTGTTAGCTATTTATTCGATTCAACAATGGCTCAGTTACAGTTTTGTTTGTCATGGTGTTTGCTTTCTTTCATCTCTTCGATCTAGTGTTTTTGTTTCTTTCTTTTGCCGACTTTCAGAGCATCTTTTCCTGGCATCTCAGATTCCAAAATGGAAGCTTATATTGAAATGTATGCTGCCAAATATGAGTTGGCATTTGGCACTGCCCGTCTTCCACAGTCAATTTTGCGCAATTTCATTTAGAAAAGGTTAGAAAATAAGGCCGTTTGAGTCTTTGGTACACGGGTCAACATCATGTACGGAATTCGATAAGCAAATGGAGGTGTTTTCAAAGTTTGAACTTTGGGTTTTGCACTACGCGTGACTTTCATTGCTGTGGCCTGCGATGCCCTTTGCATGTCACGGAATGGCACTGTAATATCAGTGAATCACGCTCTGCCTTGTTATCTTCGTGGTCTACAAATTTTTCTGGTTGAGCACCACCATGATTGTATTTGCTGTGAAAAATATGTTTGAAATTGCAGCAAGCAAAGGATTCCAAGAAATAAGGTAGAACAGTTTGTTTCGAAGAAGAATTTTTAGACTTTTTTTTTTAAACTTAGACTCAGTCTGTCACAAAGGGGCCCTTGTGAATCAAATGTCTTGATTGATATCAATGTTAAATCAAATTGTGGATATTCTCTCGATAACTTTTGGCCAAAAGCTTTTAATTTTCTTACATCTCTCACACCAGTTGGGTCCCACAAGCGAGAGAATTGGGGAAAATATTTGAATGCTAAAGCATTGGGTTTGCTTGCTAATAATTAAAGCTCTCTGCTCTGTTTTGAGCTTTTGATGTGCATGTTCGTTCCACTTGCTCAACATGGAAGAAAAAAAACACATTTTCTAGCAAGTGATTGCGTTCAAAACATGCTTTGTGAACCACAAAGTTACTTGCAAATTTGAATTTGTGATAATAGATGAATCCAACCAAATCAGCTGGACTGGAGAAAGTTGCCCCGCAAATGCAGACATGATTTAATATTGGGTTTGGCAGGACTAACATCGCTTTCATTTCACGTAGATCATGCAGTAAAGTTTATCCAACCCACAAAATGACTAAACATCGAAATCAAAGTTAATTGGTAGAGCAAATAGAGTTATTTCAAATTTAATTAGTATAGTTGAGTGAATGTCACTCTGACAAAAAAAAGAAAGCATATCAAATGCACTTCCTCACGGCCAGATTTGTGAGCAAATCAACGCAGTTCATACGTTACTTTCCTTTGACAATATTCACAACAATGCCGGCGCCAGCCTGCCATTAACTGTGTCTTAGTTTATTAAAAATTATTGCCAGATTGTACTCTGAGTAGTAATTTTTCTCAATCCATCTATTTTGTTTATTTATCTGGTTTTAGTGGCGGTATTCGGTGTTGACAAACCTACTGCAATCTTGCCCTTCCATCATGCAGATTCAGGCATTTTGGCAAGTACCATTATGTCTAGGCGCTGTTGAACAATGTTTGGTTCGATATAGATTTGTACAGTGAAAACAAATTTCATCAGTAGGATCAGGTGATTCTTTATAAAAGCTAGCAAAGATTGCATGCCACACAATCATCATTTTGTGTACCAACTGTATGTTCATTATAAAGCAATTATCCTTCTTTCTTTTCTTTGGTGGAACTGAAAGCAAACTTACCCCTTCTTTGTACTGATTGCAAGCTCACTTTTAATAGACCTTTTCAAGTACGCTAGCTTAATTAGAGAAGATTTTAGGGTTTAGGGTTCATTTCCAAATGGTCTGCAGAAAGGTTAGAAACAGAACTTTATATCCCAAGATGTTTGCTTGAAAGCAGAACTTATCAATGACGTTTCTTGAGAATGCGGAGAACAAAAGAACCTATGAGGTTAGACGATCATTTGAGTACATATACAATTGAACACTTGTATAATTTGGGAGTGGATCTTAAATCTGACTGCCTAATACTAAAAACTTGTTAGCAGCACATTAACGGATGCTAAAAGTTTCTAGCTTCTTCTTGCATGCTACTATCAATGTCTCTCAAGGAGATCCATGGTAGCTTTATTCCCAAGTGCCACATGCTTTTGCACCTTGTTTCCTGTCTCATTACAGACCAAATATTTTACTTTCTGATATAAAAGGAAGTACAAGATGGCAATATTATGTATTCAAAACAGCAATTGGATTGAGCATGCAGCTTATGAAAATTACAACTTGATTCAGACAAATTCATTGTTCAATGTGGCCTATAAGAAATAATATACAGCATACATTTTTTCATATGGCACGGTACTGATTTGTATGGAGGTTAACATCATAGGCCAGGAGGATACTAATTTTTTCCTCCTGAGAGTTATCGCGGCAAAATTTAAATTTACTAAAGTACACATTGGCTTACCTAATTTGCAGATCACTTAAGTGATTCTGAGGCAGCAGAAAGCATCACTTTCCTGCTTCACCTGCATGGATTGCCGTTGATCCTCTACTCGTTGGAGCTGTGAGGAAAGCTGAAGCAAGTCGATAGTGGTCCCATCTTCGCAGGACAGACGATCTTTGGCATTCACAAAATCTGATCCTTGGAAAATCCCATCTGAGATTCCAAAATCATCAGTATCACTGCCATTAGATAGAAGTATGGGACCCAGGTGAGTCCCAGCTCCAGAATTCATTCCTGAAGAAGGGAATCTATTTGACACCCCACTTGAGGAGGCATGTGAGCATCCCCCAATAAGATTTTCAGAACCTTGAACCAGCCTGTAATTGGTATGGCTGACCGGCATGACCAGGGGGCGAGCCATGGGAATTCCTGACAAATGGCTTGAAGATTTCTGTGACTGAGATGACAGAAGAGAGAGAGCACAACCAGAGTCTGAAATTCCCGATAATCCATGTACAGTTGAAGCAGTGTTGAACACATTGAAGTCTTCACTTCCTAATGTGGTGGTCTCATGAAACATAGAGTGCGAACCAGAATTTAGGCCTCTCATATCATGTGAATATTGACTGCCATTCTCAATGATTATGTTTCCAGTTAGAGGATTAGTTCCATTGTCATGAAATGGGGGATACCGTTTTCCAATATCATAAGAAGGAAACGCTGGTTTCAAAGGCAGATGCCCATTTGTAACAGGAACCCCTGACAAAGGCCTATAATGAGTTGCATCTTCAACTTTTATATGCCTGCACCAGTCATTTGTTCCATAATTTTCAGCATCCAAAATTCCACTGGGGAGTATCTCTTGGCAGATAAAAGATGCAGTTGTCAACATATTATCCTGAAATCTGCTGCCTGTAAACCGTGCAGACAGTTCGAAAGAAGATTAAAAATCTAAATGACTCAAAGCAGTAGTGATAGAATGATGAGTCACTAATTAGCCACTTGGAGAAGCACAAATTATACAGGAGAATCCTCAGACTACACAACTTATTATTGTCATTACATGCAAACGGGATGAGCTCTGAAGGAATTCTACAGATCATGACATAACATACGATATGAATCTATGATCATAAAGAGTAAATGACTCTTATTAAGGCAGTTTTTCTATCATAGTGACATTCAGGGAGCTTGACTTACTTAAAGAGACAATTTTATTTATTTGTATTTTGGATGTATTTCGATCATATATTTGACCCACTCTCACTGGCAGAAGCTTTCAGCTCAATGTTGCAACCGCAATATGCAGCCAGTGGACACATGATGTTTCATGTTCCTCCATTATTAACACTTTGGTTTGAGACACAGCAGTGGCTCAATTAAGCCAAACATAAGGGAGACAGGGCCAAAAACTTTAGATAACTTTCATGGATAAAAGGCTGGATAATATATAAAGGACATTTAGAGGCCTTCTAGTTTTTTCCACAAAATCCACTAAGGTTCCGCTGACCAAAGAAAAGTTAAACATTTCATGGTAATACAAAGTTCAGGGCTGCACAAGAGATCACAGTATGGTTGCATTCAGTTAAGGAGAGAAAGGGGGACCATGAAATCGTCAGGATAACAGAAAACTAGAGACAAATTTTATTAATACCATTATACGACTGAAGCAACCTACCAGCTCTTCCAGAGTGAATCCCCACTTGAGGCTTTCTCCGACGCTCATTGTGTCCTGCAAGGCGTTTACGACAGCTACGCTTACCATCATCAAACTCAGCCAGCAAATGAAACCTGGATGGTCAAAAGCTAGTACATATTACAGCAACAACAAGAATCATGACACTTTGCACATTAGCTCAGCTGGTTTGATTCAAAATCCTAAATGAGCTAAACTCAAGGATACAATAGATTTAGAAAGAATCTATTTCTGAGCAACCAAACAAATTGAATTCAATCAAGAAGATGAAACAGAACCAACCTACTACATTGCTGACAAAACCTCTGTTCTCTGCCATTCACAATAACTTTGGCCGTCTTTGAGTGAGCCTCACAAACTTTATGCCTCTTGTGGTAGTCCTTGGAGGAGCTGAGATCCTTGTCGCAACCATAAACCTGACAGTAGGCGGTCTGAGAATACAATCCTGACACCCGCATTCGCTTTGCAGGTGTCGATGATTCGGATGAAGACAATATGGGATGTCCTTTAGAAAATTTAGAATCATGGAAATCTCTGTTATCAGCCAACCTCCCTAGTTTTAAATCAATGAGTGAAGAATCCCTACTGTTAGAGTCCACAATAGAGCTTGAAAGCTTTGAAGATGATTCATCTTCTCCTGAAAATAAATTTGGGGTAGCCATACTTGTTGTATTAGTACTTCTTTCACCATAAACCTTGCCACTCAATACATCTCTAATTGGATTATTTGAGAAATGTTTGCCCATCATTTCTGGAAAACCCAACTCCCCAAAACCTTGACTTTCAATAGCTTGCTGGCCTGACACTAAAACGTTGCTGCCAAAAGCACAGGGGATTTTCAATTCCCAACCCATCAACGTATTTCTACTTCTAGAAAATGAATCAGTGTGTGAAATTGTTTCATCGGAAACAAACCCCTTCCCTTCAGAAATACG